AAGGTCAAACAACTTCCGAAACAATCTTTTGTTTTTAAGTGTTGTTTTAAAAGAGGCCTTTTATTTTGAAGAGCTAGTCTGCAACACTAATTTAGTTACAGATTCCTCAAAGCAACTCAAATCCATCCAACCAACCTTTTCTTTCAAATGGAAAGTCATGTCACAATATGTCACCCAATTGCGTCAAAATACATAAATCTTATAGAAAGTCTTATATATATATGCATAAATATTTATTTATTTATTTATTTATTTATTTATTCAAGACTGGCTCTTATTAAATACCCAAAATAAAGGTCCTCTTCTGATTTTGCGTTAAATTGCCAATCTTTCAGAAGTGGGTTGGCCTCGTTTCCGCAACTTGGTCTTGCATGTATATTTGTACTGTTGTATATGTATGCTCATATGCATGCATGCGCGTATGTTCGTATGAATGTATGTATGTATGTATGTATGTATGTATGTATGTATGTATGTATGTATGTATGTATGTATGTATGTGATATTTATGTATGTATGTATGTATGTATGTATGTATGTATGTATGTATGTATGTATGTATGTATGTATGTATATAGGTATTTATGTATGTAGAGATTCGTTTGAGCACATAGAACATAGACACATCTCTGCACAATAACACAGACGCACACATTTGCATGCACGCATATACACGGTTGTCTGGTTTAAGGTGGCGAAGGCAACAATTGATTGTTGGCTGTAGAGACGAGAAGCAGGGTTGAAGCGCAAGCTACCTTCTCACCTTTCTGTTAGCACAAAAGAGGGCGCCATTTCAGCTTTGTCTCGGCTCTTCTCCTGCCTCGAATCGCGCTTCTCCATCCTTCCAGTCAGCTCGTTCTCGTAAGCCTGCTCAGAGACCTTCATGCTCTGACCGCCACCGCCACCGCCGCCACCACCAGCCTCACCAACAGCCAGACCGGAAGTGCCAATGCCCTTCAAGACTCCCATTCCTCCGACGCCGCCATCTCCTCCGTCCCCGGCTCCAGGTCCAGCCAGACCTGCGCCTTCAGTGCCGAGCTGTCCTCCAGCCTGTAGCAGTGAGTCTGGTGGTGCTCGCAACTCAAAATGACTCTGTTGTAGAACGAGATGTCGCGTAGCGACTGGATTCAGCTGCGGTTGCCAGACTCGTGTTGGGTCGAGGCGAGCCACACCACCGGCCTCCTGGAAAAACGGTTCGCTCACCGCCTTGGCGTTGAGCACGGGCCAGCTGGAGAGCAACTGAAGACTGATACGGCATAACTGAGCCAGGAAGGAAGTGATTCATGTCATTTATTGGACAATCAGTCCTTCTTTCCCACATCACACGCAAACACACATGCTCTGTCGAGCATAAAAAGGAGTCTCATTTGAGGCGGTGATCACAACCACTGATCGGTTGCTGTTTTGGGCCAGCTTACGTGGTCTGCTAACATGTGGCTAGTGGGAAATCATACATTTTTTTCGGCTCCTCAACCCAACCATACACACGAGATCACGCAATCACAGTTTTCCCATTTCTTGCGTTGCTAATCCTACAGGTTTGCATCTCCTCATCGTGATTGCACAAGCTTGGTCACACTTCTCCTTGGATCATTTAGTCTTGATGATGTAGTTACTCTGCGAGATGACAGCTGATATTTTATACAGACGTCGACACACACACACACACTCAATTATTATTGGCCAGATTGACGTAAAAGAGAACTAATAAACTCATTTAATACTTTGTTATTCTAAGTTATGGAAATATAAAACATATACGATAGAACAGGACAGTTTTTTTGACTCGTCAACTTGGACCTTTTGAAATAATAAGCTCCAGCCCTGACTCTATCTGAACCGAAACTAGGGAGCCTGTCTCGTAGATTGCACTAACATGAACGTCTTAATGGAGTCAAACTGCTACAGAACAAAGGGGAATTAACAATGGTCCTCGAATGAGAGCAACCAACGAACCTTTCTATTATTCACTTTCATAAAAAACGAAAGTCTCTAGAATGGCGTATCTCTTTGTATGAAAGTGAACCCTGATTGGTCATTAGTCGTTTGGCTTTATGTGAAAATTATATTCGAGAACAGACAAATTGTTGGGTGAAAGTGTATCTGATGAGGAGCCTAAAAGATGGATTCGACCAAGAGAAGACAGCGAATTCCTCGTGGCTTTCGTAAAAAAGTTAACTGAAGCTGTGCCCGAGGTAGTCTCATTCAATTCCAGTGAAAACATGCTGAACTTTCATCCTTGATATGAAGGACATCCTCAGAGCAGGGAGAGATAAGCCAAAGAGGCAAGAAAACAAATCAGCTTATCCAAAACTGCTGTATATACACCCCAAAACTATGCATTTTTATGAGTTTAAAAGTGATTTGGTTACTTTAAATTTTATCTCAATATAGAATTATGTGCAAGTGCATATGTGTATGTGTGTATGTGTGTGTTTATGCGCCTTAGTGTACATGCATGCATACAAAATCAGCAGCGATGGCTTAAGGTGATTAGAGCAAAGTGTATCATCTCTCCTTCATCCTTTTAAACGGCCTAGGCTGACTAAATTTCTTATTCAAGGTCTGTCGACATTCTCGAAATTCTACTCATAACGAATACAATTTGATGAGGCTTTTGGTTGTATGACTGAAAGAGGGAGAGGGTGTAATTAGGAACATAACCAATAAAAAAACAGTCGAATCGTCCCATTTTTCTGAACAAATCAGCGCCCTCTCTATCCTTAAGTATTTCAATTAAGCATAATTAGTCATTACTAAAGTTATATCGGTTTTTCTTGTCTAAATTGCATTGCCCCAAGCATCTCAAATTGAATTCCAATTCGTCACTTTCTCATTCACATTCACTAGTGACAACATCATCAAATAATTGAGTTAACTACCAAATATATGTACCAGGCTTCTCTGGATTATTTGAATTAGCAAACATGTCTAAACTTTATGGGAAAGCAGGCCACTTTGCAATGCACATTGAGCAATGTAATAGTTTGCGCCTCTCTTGGTCCTTTCTCTATAAATAATATATGATTTTTAGTTTCCTAATGACATACTACTCTTTATGCATATAGTAATTTACCAAAAAAACTGACAAGTATAATTTGGACTCATCGAAGTTTCCTTGCATATGTGTGATTTTGGAGAGGCCTAATTTGCTTAGCAAGCCACATTCGCCCCCTATGCGTCTGTCAGCCAAGGCGTGGAGGCAAAGTAATAAAGGGTTACCAGTTAAAATACACGATATTCCATGTCCGATAATGATACTGGTACGACTAGTTAGAGGATGAAACTGAAATTCAGTTCAGAAGGACAAACGATTCTGGATGAAAGACTAAGGAAAATTCAGCTGTTCGTGAAGCCTACTCATTTTATTTTGCATACTTCTATTATCAGCGAAATAAATTGATAAGGCTATTTATCAAAAAATCATACTCTCATCAACTCAATGCTTAACTTGTAAAATTTATTTCCCTGAAATTATATTATTTAATGTTCTAATTGGTGATAAGGTTTGTTATTGGAATAGTTTATGCTTCTAATCTCGTATATCCTTAGTCAGAATCAAGTCCGACTCCCAATTTACAAATCATTGTACAGAATCGGTCTTTTTATTCACTAATCGGTAGAAATTTTATACTTTGAATAGCCATTGACAATGTATTCCTTTATTAGTACTATTTACGCGTCAAATATGAGGGCTTAATCATAGAAACTAATGAAATCTAATTCAGCGAATGCTTAAACAGTTTGAAGTAGTAAATGACAATTGTATTTCTGTAAATCCTTCTGTTTATCGCTATTCAGCTAAATTTTATTTTAAACGAAAGTTGATGTTGAAGAGATTTTCAAGTAGAGATGATTTAACGAATACTGGCAGATTTTACTCAGTCTGTGGTTGTCTGATGTGTTTGGAACGTCCTTATTTGTTTATAGTGAAAATGTGCCGAACTTTTGATTTTAATGACGATTGACGGAAAGCTCATTGGCTTACCTATACCTGTTAAAAAAATTCGCAAAGTACCTATTTTATGTTTCGTTTATAAGTGGGTTTTCGAGACTAACACTTCATATATAGAGCAATTTTATGTCTGAGTGCAAGCATGAGATATTCATCCGAAAGTTTTCAAGGTCTGGTTATGTCCAGCCTAAATTATTAAACCTCTGTCCACTTTCGACAGAAACGAAAAGGGATGCTCCTACAAGACCTTCAGCATAAACGTTCATGGAATCTCAAGAAACATTACATCAACGGGAATCGATCATCTTCTGTTAAAAGGAAGTTCGATTCTTTTTATCACACTCTTTGCACGAAATGTAAGTCGGCTAAGCATCAGCAAAAAGTAGTCAATGTTAACTTTAGGTCGTATGAATATCAGTTTACTATTTTTATTTATCATATGAATCGTATAATTGAGTGAATTCTATTTAAATCCTAAAAATATTGCCTTAAAAATTGACCCATTTAGATAATTCTACTATTTATAAATGTGAATTAAGAAAAAAATAATTCCAGAATACGTTTTAATACAATAGCCATCTAGTTCAAAGATTACTAATTTATTAAAATATTAGTAACCATTATTTATCAATTAACTGAATAATTATAAAGAAGTATCCATTATTTGGTCAATTATTGGTAAAGACTATTAGCTATTAATCATATAATAAATGCTAATTACTAATAAATACATATTTATTAATTACTACAAAAAATAATATCTATAAGTATTAATTAGTAAATTGTTTATTGGCTAATAATTCTTTATTATCAAGTCATTTTTAGTAAATATTTAGTTACTTGCAATTAGTGCGAATTATTCAATTTGTTATAAAGCTTAATATCTAGACTTAAATATCCATCTTGGCCAGATGAGATTTAAGACACATGCTAATTGTGATAAGGAAGTTGTTGAAGCCCATGCATATACTTATGTGAATTCTATGGAAGAGGATTAGAATAAATTTAAACCAATAAGACTTAACGTCAGATTAGGTTGTCTGAAGTGAATTAAGGATATAATAGGCAATCGATACAATATAATTTTACCAAGCCCTACCTCCCAAGAGAATTTTGTCTCCGTGCTAAAGTTTAGCCTCTATCTCGCCTTCGTCTCTTCACTATCTTTGAATAATTGCATCGTGACATGCAAATTCTAGATAGACACTGTAGTTGTCTAAATTCGAGTCGTCTTGACGACTACTCAACCCATCTCTACAGTTCCCAAAAATCGGCTTGATCATAATTTCATACAGTTTAGGAGAATTTTTAAATTTATCTACATATGTATGTGCGGATACTTATGTGGAAACATTTTTGTTTGTTTGTTTATCCCATCGAATCGTACAATGATAGCTTAAATTTATAACAAATGTAATTTTATTATTGAATGAAATTTATCGCAGGTAAATGCATCAAAATGGATGCTTATTATGAAAGAGACACTTGACTGAATTGATTGGATTAGGCTCTTGCCCATGTAAGTGAATTAGCTGTACAAATGATAAACAGGAATATTCCAGTCACCCCTTCGTATGCAACTCAACAATGTACATAATTTACTGCCGATTTCATTGAGAAGAAACGCCATCAGACGATCGGGACAATGAAAAAATGTCTACTTTGGCTAAAGAATCTTCATTCTCTTTTCATAGCACCGAGTATACACAAACAGTCTAGCCGAATGGACAGTCATTTTTGCTGACAGTAACAAATTTTTCTTAATTGTATTCTGGAGATACTAAATATACGTGGCTTTAATTCCAATTAAAATGATGCTTTCTGAGGGTTTAAGCAGCTATTTCTTCATCTCATTTGTATATCTTTCACCACTACATAAGTCGCAACTGGTTGACCAGAGAGTTTTAAGCCGATTCTGTTTCTGGAATGCGTAACACAATGCTGGACTTTCTAGATTCTTAAGCGTTTGGCGATGACAAAATTGTGGGAAGTATTATCACTCCTTTTCCTCCAAAAATTGACAGGATGCTGAAACAAGGATCATGAAGGAAAATACAAATTACATGTCCCGGTACGTAGAATCCTCCTTTTGACACAGGATTGTATGATGGCTATTTAGCCCCCCATTTGACCGAGTTGTGAATGCCCTCCGCCAACCGACTCGTTCTGGTTCCTCCTCGGCTGGATCGCCTCCAACAGTGTCCATCAAAAGTCATCCTATTGTCTGCCCTCGTCACTTTTGCCAAGTGGAACCAGCTGAGGTTGGTGGCCGAATAATAATGTCCACTTGAGACTCTTGCAAATTTATTTATTATTTATAAGTAGATTCTCTAAATTACCAGTAAATCAACTATATTCGGTGTTTTCTCCCTATTTTTTTGAAGGTGATGAAGAGCTGATAGTTGAATTTTCCCACAATGATTTGAGTAGAGCCTACACTTCTGTCGAATTTTACATAGCCGTGCTCTCCCAAAAGAT